GCCCCGGCCATTTTCCCTCGTTCCCGCCACCTTCGATTTCGGTTGTACCTGGCCCAGAACCCCTGACAGGTTCATTCCTTCCATTCTCGTTTTCTTCCTACCAGTGTCGCGCCCGACAGTCGCCCCGTAACGCTCTGTCCGTCGGCCCCTCCCTTCTGCGCCCACTAGCTCATCTCTCCACCTTCTTCCTCCCGTTGGGCTTGGCGCAGCAAAGTTCTTCCCCGACTGCAAAGAAACTTCGGAGGAACAAAAYTGCCTGTCRTCCGGGCGCGCGGGCCCTACTAACCTTCTCTGAATCATTCCAATCTTAACGGATGTCCCGAAGGACTCGGGCCTCACAGCAGCCTCGAGGTGGCACCTTTGGCCTGACCGCAGGGCAAAACCAGACAATCCGGAGTACCGGACCCTACCTATTCAGTATCGAACGCGGCCTGTACTCTGACTATTCCTGGGTGTACCAACTGCGCTAGGCGCATGGGTCCTGGCTAGACTCACGTATTGCGTCTCCGCACGAGGCGCGGAAACAAAAAAGGAAGACGTAAAGGTAAAAACACGACTAGAAATAACAAAGGTATATATATATAAAAAAAAAGCTTACAACCCATTACGGGTGGGGAAATAGGGTTGTTGGCACCCCGCCAGCCCTGCAAGTCGGACCCATTGCCGTGCTTGCCAACAAAACCACAAGGGGATAGCCCCTCGGGCCCCTCAACCCCTTGGCTCCCTCCACCATGCTCTGCTGCCTCCGCACCGGCGTCCGCTGGTCTCGACCCCCGAACCTCCGTAGTAGTAGTCTGATGCCGTAACCTATAGGGCTATGCCCAAGCCTAAGACCCACGTCCACGGAGTACCATATAAGGCAGTGCGGCGCGGCGCTATGGGCCAACAACCGGTTGCGCGRCTCCYTTTTGCCTGCGCCGGCTTTCTTATATAAGTACCAATCAAAAGAAAATATCCTTAATTCCTGCTTAATCAAAAATAAATAAATAATAACAATAAGCAAAACGACMGAGGTCCGGATCGGCCTTACGATCAATAACAGAAAAGAATCACGCGCACCTTAAACCTGCGCGCCCACGCACTYGCTATTGTGGTCAACCACCTAGTCAACGCAATTACAGACGCAACCGCGCTTAGCGAGGTATACTTAAACTCTAGATTACAACTATTTTYTGTCACTTGCAAAAACCACGGCGGATACCCTTGTAAGGGTATTCGCACCGACAACGGTTTTTTTTTTCTGCGCAGTTCAAAGTGTGCTTTCATCAACAATCTGAAACCCAGTCCACCAGGAATGCCCGACCTCGCGGAGCATCACACCCTAGCTTGGACGAGTCTTGCGGGCAACCGATCAACTGATCATTGGATCAGTTCATCGGCTTGCCGGCAAAGCTGTCCGTCCTGAGGTGCATACATCATACGTATCATCTCATTGGAAACCGACGACCGTTCCAAACAATCACCCAACCAACATGAAGAAAAGGACATTCACACCAAACAGGAGAAAGTGAGATTTGAGGGAACGCATCGCCATATTCCAACGGGGCACACCGTTCATTTGCTGGGGTAGGTCGAATTAACACACTCGCAAATGATCATGATTGCCATCGCAGTGGCAAACAACGATCGTTCCAAACAAAAAACCAATCACCATGAAGAAAACAACATTCACACCACTCACGAAAAAGAGAGATTTGAAGAAACGCTTCATCGCATTCCAATGGGACACACCGTTCCATTGCTAGACTCCGTCCAATGAACACACTCGCTAAACCCTATCGACATCGGACTGTAGTTTTCAACAAAGAACAATAAAAGGCGCCGCTCGTCATTCCTGGCGCAGACCAACCATCGCACTGACTTCACAATGCACCTTCAAATACACTACAAAGCCGACCTCTGTCGGAGGTCGGTTAACAGCTACCAAGCGCCTTTGGGAGACGAGACACTGCGTGCGTGCAGCGGGGCGAAACAGGAACACAATCTACGAAGGGGCCCTCTCGTGGCGAAACGCGTCAATGCATGCAAACCATCTACGGTCGTCGCCGTAATCCCCCGACTCCCATCCAGTCCACTCTCGCTGCAACGTCGGGGTCCGCCAGACCAGCGTTGCAGTTGTACCGCACTCCGCACGAAGCCCACTCCGGGATGTAGTCAGGGAAAGTGCCCAGCGTTAAGGGTGGCTTCCGCAGGCGAGTCAAAAACACGTTCGGTGAGTGCATCACATGGCGGCGCCAGTTGAAGGACGATGAACACGCCGCCACGAGAGTCGACTTCGCCACGAGCTGCGCGTAGTAAGATGCCTCGTCGTAGGAGCGCGCATCGTCGCCTCCCATGCGCATGATCCACATGCACACGGCAAGAAGCAGGCGGAAAGCATCCCCGATTCTGCTCAGTCTCTAGTGTGACAATCTACCGCCGTCCCACCACTGCCCGGCCCGGAGCGCGTCGTGGAAGCATGACGCAATATGCATCACAGTCGCCTCCTGATGCGCGGTCATGTCATCGTCCTCCGACCTATTCTCGATATATGCCCCGGCGAACCACACTGGGATGTCCATCTTCAAAGCTACTGTGTGGTAAACTACGACAGGAGGCACTATCCTCGACCACTCGAAGCTCTGCCAAACTGCTCTCGCCAGGTCGGTGGGGTAATCTGTGGCGACGTAGGACTCCGCGCGGGCGAAACCATCGAACCTTGAAGACGACCTGAATATCCACCCGTGGATGATGCGCATTGCCACGTTCTCCGTTCGTCTCGCCGGTCTGAGAGCTGGCTCTCGTTGCGCGCCATCTTCGATCCGCACGCGCGGGACTTCGGGGGGCGGCATCATGAGGCTTTGCGGAGCGCTAGCACCTGCATCTCCATTGACGATCGCGCAGAAATAGTCCGCGCAGGAATGCACCGCGTCCGCGATCATCCGTCCGGGGCCGGTTGCGCAGAACGCTTTGCCGTCTACCCACAACTTCGATTTCGCCTCCAACTCCTCCTCTTGGCGGGACCTTTTCTTCCTTGCGCTCAGAGGTTGGTCGTCCTCTTCTTCCCCGCGCGGAGTCTCCTCCCTCCTCTCCTGTTTTCTCCCCGCCTCTTCCACCCTCCTATCTTCTCGCTTTTCTCCAACACCGACGGCGGCGGCATGACCAGCGACGCTCGCTGCTTGCGCGGATCGAAGCACATCCCTCGACGAAGCGGCGACGATCATCGGGTTCGACGCCTCCACATGGCGTGATGGACACTCACCTACCGGAGCTTTTTCGCCGCGCTCGGACACGGATGCGATGGTGGATGCAGAACCCACGACCCTCTGCGGCGGAATGTCACCGGACGAAACTCCTGGCGCACGAGCCGTCCCTCCAGCGCCGCCGCGCATGGACGTCGGGACGCCAAGGTTGGTGAGCGCAAGCATACGCTGCCTGCTCATACCATCACGCCCGAACCCGAGCACAGGCGTCCCTTTAGAAGTGATGTCCATAGGCGTCTCCTCCTCTCCCCCGTCACCCCCCATCTCTCCTTCCGACCCGTCTCCCGCGCGGAGCTTGTTCGACTTTGGGATGTGGCCCCTTCCTGTTTGTCCTGCACTCCCTTCGCCGGAACCACCGTGTGGACGTTTCGCCTTCTGCTGGCCACGTGGCGCCATTCGCTGACGGTCGGATGCGCACGCCCAGTGAACGAAAACGGACTACCGTAGCGCACGAGAGGAAGTCGCCAAGGATCGTCTTGCGCGGGCGATGTTCAGTTCCCCGTGCAGCACAACGGGAACTTCATGCGTGGCCTTGCGCGCAGTCAACAAGCAAAAGACTGCGAGAAGATAGCGCTCGCGCGGACCTTTATAGTGCTCGCGGTGACATTTCCCCTGCCTCGGCGTGCTGATCCCGCCTGGACGGCCTCCAACACACCCCTCCACGCGACGACAGCGACGATCACCCATTCCGCATGGGGGGAGACCACCCCAAATACCCTGGGACAATGCGGTCCAGGGAATGGACCGCCCTGCCCCGGAGATCCAGCGACTCAACATTTCGAAGCGCGCGAGGGTACACGGCCATCGCGCACACCATCCCCCGCCTTGTTTCCTAGATTTATGTCGTCGTTCGGAGGACCGACACCACATTTCGCGACGGGCCAGATCGCGGGCGAATCCACTTCAACGGCTTGACAAACCTCACGCCACCGGCGTCAAGATCTATCCCTTATCACTCTGGCAATCTCCATCAACGCCGTGCACATCATCTTGTTCGCCTCATCGAACGTCGTGTAATGCCTCTCCAGTATGTCACACTGGCGCTTCTGGGCTTCAACCTCCCGGTCGAGGATGTCACACTGCCGCTCCAGGATGCTACACTGTCGTTTGCTCGCACCCTCTACCGTGTCCGCCATCAATGAACCGTGTTTGTCCATGACTTCGGTGATGGCGTCGAAGGTCTGCTGCCGCATGTTCTTCCTCTTCGCTGGAGTGCCAGTGCTGCCTGCACTGAACCCCGTCTCCCGCGCCGAACCCACATCTTCGTCAACGCCATCACCCCCCTCTCCACCAGCAGAGGACTCTCTACCAACGGTCGCCTGGCGGTGACCATCCATTGTTGGCGGCACTCCTCCGCATGCGCTCGTGTCTGCCACGTTGTCCGGGTAGATGGTCTTGTTATTTTTCGACATGTTGTTGATCTCATTGAAGACTCGCTCATCCATTCGGAATTTGAAACCCTCGTCTGCTCTTGTTGCAGAAGTTAATGTGAAGAAGTTCTTCCCGCCGGACATGTTCTGGTAACGCTGCACCTTCTTGTACGGTTGGAAGACGTTGTCCCACTTCTTCCCTATGTCGTCCGTTGTCCTGTCCACTCCGACCTCCGCCAGCCGCTTCTGCAGGTCCAGCAGCTTTCACTCCCTGTTGCGCATGCGGCCGTAGTTGTGTGGCATTCCCTTGAAATGAGCTTGCTGATCCCGCTTTGCTCGAGCGAGCTTCAGCATCTCCTCCACACTCCAAGCTGGGTGCTTGCCACCCTTGTCGCCCACAGGAGCCCTCGATCCTCGGCCACCACGCGACTCGCCCCTCTGCTGATTTCCTCCTCCTCCCCTCCGTCCACCACGCGCAGCCACGGGTCGGATCTCTAGCCCCTCACCGTCTTCCGCGTCCTCTTCGTAACGGGAATCCGGAGACTCGTCCCCACTCGCCCGACAGCTGTCGTCCGAATCCACGTCGCTCCCCACATGAAGCCTGGACACATCGGTGGTTATGTTCTCCGTGGCAGCACGCCGCATCTGTAGGCGACAGTTCTCCCACGCCTGCCTGCCAATGTCTTCCGGTGGAGTCCCATCATTCATTGCAGCACTTGCTGTCACCCTCTCCCGCATTGTAGGCGAAGACACCGACGGGCGGATGGGTGTCACTGCCCTTGACTACTCGCCAAGTGGCCCGGCGCCCATGGAACTCGGGACTGGTGGACGACACGTCGGCCCACCGACACGGGACGTTCCTCCTCTCAACGTTGGCGATCCCACCACCCCTCCGCCGTGGATCGGACCACTTGCACCACTCCCGCTGCACAATCCGAAATCCAAGTCCACAAGCTCCGTGGCGGAGCAATGCGGTGAACGACTCGCGCGTGGTCCCTGCTTCCCTCTGCTGGCACTGCCTGCTCGTCCACTCCTGCGTAGATCCACTCCCCAGAGGAAGTGTGTGCGACGGATCCTCAACAGGTCGTATGCGGCGGGTCGATGGCCGGACCGGGGCCGATCAGGAATGGAGAGATCCATCACACGTCTCTATTGTCCGACGGAGCTGTTCCGCCTGTCCATCGTCGTCTTCCTATCCACTTGTCGTCTTTGTCTACGCCCACGAGGCCGCGTCACAACGAAGGCGCGCAAAAAGACGAGAAGAAGCAGCAGAAGAGATGCTAGTAACAGGAGCGGTAGCCGCCGGAAGATGTCTTCCATGAAACGCACCACGTGTAGATGACCACCCGAACGGACAACCCTCATGCGCGCACGCGAATGGCAACAAACGGGGCGGCCGGCGACAACATCACACCCCGCACATAAAACACATTTCGAAATATTCGACTGTTGGACACGACGCCCAACGAAGTGCAGAAGGAGAACCCCGCCGTTCTGACGTCTGTTGCACCCGAAGCGGGACCCCCAGCCGTGTACGAGCGAACGGTAACACCAGAAGGCCGTTGGTGACCTCCCGCCGGTAGCAACCCGATATTGTCCGCCCGATGGACCACGGACGTCATGTGCACCAGCAAAAATCAAAACTTCCCGTCACGACGCACGCTCGACGACGGCCCGTCAATCGGGGATCCTTGAGCCCAAGGGACCTCTCGAGGACCCCTTGAATCCAAGGACGCAATGGCTGGGGATTCCGAGGGACCCAAGGAAATCTCTTGGGAGCGTTTTCACATTTTTTCAAGGATTTTTGTTTTTTAGGACGCGGTGTAAATCATAACTTTGGACATTCCTGAGGATTTTCAAGGAGGGTCTAACGAGGCCCCTTGTCACACTGGATCGGGCACACTCCTATCCGACTGCTAATGGGACCTCGCCCCACAAAGAAACAGAACTTTGAAGTTTAAAGTTAGACTTTCTAATTCATATTCATATAAAAATTGAAAATTTATACGGCGTAAGAAGCACTAAGAACAGATATGTGATCTCGTCAGGACCAGATCTAAGACGGGATCTCAGATCTGACCAAAATCATCTCTCTCTCTCTCTCTCTCTCTCTCTCTCTCTCTCTCTCTCTCTCTCTCTCTCTCTCTCTCNCTCTCTCTCTCTCTCTCTCTCTCTCTCTCTCTCTCTCTCTCTCTCTCTAGCTTGATGTTCTGTGGCGCTTTGCATCCAGCGCTTGATTTTTGGAATCGGACTCATCCTCATCCATTGAACTACCACTGTAGTACAAAGAAAAAAAAAAACAGCAGAGGGAGCGGCTGGAAGTGGCTGGCAGCGTCCGGTAGGCCCTGGAACAGCCAAAAAATACCGGGGCCATTTTTTGGGGGCGGCCTAGGACCCGAAAAACGTCCTAGGCCCCCCCTAAGAAAAAAATTCGAAATTTTCAAAATTGGGCCCAATCCAGACCTACCGGACCAGACACCAAAACCATACCCAGACAACCGGACCGTCTGGATTCCGGTCCAGACGTCCGGCCTGTTGCCATGCTCTCCACTCTCCGTCTATCCAAAGATTCTCAAATTTGTGACCGCGGTACAAATAAGGGGCTCGCCACAACACTGTTGCAACTTGAAAGCAAAAAAAATGAACGGCCGTCAGAATAAACTTTACAGCCTCCCTTCGACGGTTTGCCCCTTTTTAGACACACAACACTGTAGAATGAACGCACTTGTGAATGCAAGATGGAGAAAGAAGAACGTGCCTGAGGGTACAACAAGCATTAGTCCATCCTGACCTCATGCCCACTCACCAAATTTCGAGGAGATGTCGATGGCGCAGCCGAGGACTTCTGAAAGCATCAGAGTAGCTGGCTGGGGATTCGACAACTTTCGAAAGGAGGTGTCGAGTAGCATTCTCTCTCTGACAACTTGCAAATTTTCTTCCCGTCTCCAATTTCGACAGGCTGTGTGAACAAGAGAAACTATCAACAATCGTGTTTTCAACAGTGGTGTGGCGAGCCCCTAAGGCCGTCGCGATGACCGCACTTGAAAACACGGAGCCATCAGCATTCGTTCTCCAGAGGTGCACTCCAAAAATTCAGTCCCAGGTACAGCACTCTATGAGCAACGTATTTTGCACATCGGGAACCATTCAACCGTGGAGAGTGCTTTTCTGACGGGCTCTCTGACAGCTGTACAAGAGATTCTCGCTGTTTGGGGCTTGGATCCACTACTCGTCAAATGTGCAAAATGAGAACGAGTCTTCCGCAAAAAAACAAGGGAAGATACACTGCCTTGTTTTTTGTCATTTGTGCACGTGGTGAGTAGGCAAGCCCTTGGTTTGTAAAGTTAGGGCCTCCCTTCACTACTCTCTATTCATCTCCACAATCAAGAAGGCTCTTGTTTATCTGTGGAATCTGACTCGAGAGCCGTCAGACTCTGAATTCCGGTTGAAATGGGGTAGGAGGCCTCCCTTCACGCAGACTTTCTTGGCGGCGAGTTTTCCAGCTGCCAAGGGAGTGGAATCACGGACAACCAGCTTTTCAGACGACCGGTGGGGTCTGGAATGCATGTCAGCGTCCCCGGAAAACTTCTCCTGGCGCCCTGGTGGGGTCCCGAAATGACGCCGGCGGTAAAAGTTTTCCACGACGCCGGCCAGTGGGGTCCAAGCCTCACTCTCGATCAGGCACACTCTCAAAGAGCATACTCACACCAGGCCCTCAGAAGTGCAAAATAGAAAAATCAGTGGCCAGATGCAGTCCTTGTAAAGTGAGGACTCGATCACTCAATCCAGTGGCTGATTTTGTTAGTCTGCTATTTTATTTTATTTTTTTAACTTGGACACCATTCCATTATATGCTGGAAAACGGGTCCGGCGTCCCTTACATATAAGCCGCAGCCATACAGAGCTGGGAAAAGCAATCCCGACCAATCTCATCCCCGACTGCAGCCAAGAAATCAGGCAGCATTGCTCAAACCCTAACTGCCACTAACTGGTCATTTGAAAGCAGATGCAATTGAAAAAAGATTCAAATCTAGCAGTACTAAACTTAGTATCTCCTAATTACTCACTAATCCTAATATGCTAATTAACCAAATGTAATTACGATTCCCTAATTAATTACCAACCCTAATATACAAATTAAGCAAAAGTAATTACGATTCCCCTACAGAAATGCCATCTCTATTTTCATCTTTCTTCCTCTTTGGCGGATTACTATTCCCCTATGTTCTAGTTAGTCTCCACTAATTACTCCACAATCGCCATAGCCATCTGTCTAAACTAAACTAACCCAGCATATAAAATCAATTAAAACAAAACTAACTTTCCTTCCCCCTATCAGATTACCAATCCCTAGGTTCCAATTAGTATCCACTAAATTTCCACTACCACCGCCATCACCTTAATTATGTATCTCCAATTCAGCAGGCGGCAAAAAGCAACCCAAATTACAACACATCAACAAAACCGCCCCGATTCTCGTTTTCTCCTTCCCCCTAGCGAAGCCCAGAAGTGGAGGCTATACACCTAATTAACTAGAAAAACAAACGACGACAAAACCGTGTGAAGCCGACTGTTGCACTCCAAGTCCTTCCACCGGTGAACAGAACGCCGGCGACGTGACTAAAACGGGGTCACCTACCTGTGGGCTCACGTGCAATTCTGCTCAACTCCAAAACGCGGGCCAAAACATCTCATCCAGCAGCACCAACGCACCAATAGCAAGGGAGGAGCCTAATCAGTCGATCCGTCGTCCCAAACACAGGCACAGCACCCCAAATGTCGATGCTAAATACCCGAACCTTCCATTGCACCGTCGATCGGGCATACACCAAGCACTTCAATCAGCATCACCAAGCTCAGTCGAAATCCTCTCCCAACTCTTGAGTTCCATATCTGAAACCAGGGGACTGCGCCCCTGATAGGTTGATAATTCTGGTATGACATCGATTTCCAGATCCCGCCCGCTGACTGTCCCCACATCACTCTCCTATCCCTCCACAGTCAATCAGGATTACTGACCCCTGTCAGTCGGGACTGGCCCATGGCAGGAGCATGGTAGTGCCCCTCTGCACGTGTCCCCCATAGCGCCCTCGCACCTTCCTCCCCCACGCGCCACCACCCCACCAACAAGTTCTGGCACAGCGCCGCCTTTGTTGCAGCGACACCAACGCGATCCCCCGTTGCCCAGACGCTGCCTGCTATTTTGAGGACCTAGTGTGAGAGTATGCTCAAAGCACTTCCGTTCTTCTACTTTTTCTCTTTGTTTTTCAACAGAAAACACCCAAAAAAAAAGGAAAAGAGGAAGAAAAAAAAAGAAAAGTACTTCCTGTTCTTTTACTTTTTTTTTTTCTTTCTTTCTCATAGATAAAGAAAAGTGTACGACCTACAGTGATGTTCAGAGGTCCTCATGACCCCACATCCAAAATGATCGTAATCCAATAGTCAAAAAAGAACATGATGGCAAATCAATGCTGACTCAGAGATTTCTACAGAACAATTGCCCTGCGCCCAGGGCCCCAACACCGAGGGAAAATGGGGTGGGTGGGAGCCCTGAAGAGAAATACGTTTCCCCGTGCGAAACAGGGAAAAACATCCGAGCCCAATACTCACACCTTGTCGCCCACCATGCAGGAACGTGCCACTCAGCTCAGCGTGTGCGGCAACCGGAGAAATAGAGAAACAAAGCGTGATGAGTACTCTTGGCTACAATCCATATATACCAAAGAGTACTCATCCAGGGACAGTCCCGGCGGAGATGGCCTCACTCCTGGGCCCCATCCAGGAGCCCAGGTGACATCC